GGATGCCACTGCAGGGAAACACAATATATTTTTAGACACATGTTTTCTTAGTCGTCCATGTCAGTACGTAATACATTTGGACGGACAAAACAAGACATTTTAAGATGTTACCCAAGATTCAGAACAATTTCAATATTTTCTGATATTGTACAGACTAAACAACCAATCTATTAATTAAAAAATTATAATCAGCAGATTAGTCAATCATGGAGATAATAGTTTGTAGTGCACAAATTAAATGTCTTATCTTTCTCTAACTAAACGAAGAAAACAAAAAGTGTTGTTTGGGACAAAAATGTAATAAATTGGATCCTCCCATTAGGTATATGTATGGTTAATTAATAAACGTCTTCGTCTTGATTATGATGTTGATTAATTACTGATTTAATCCACTTTATATTATTAAAACTGTTCAAGACTTAATCAAAGAAAATGTGTATTTATTGTCAGGATGCTAAAACTGAACAGCTTCCTTGTTGAAACCCTCGTCAACTCAGCAACCTCGATTTCATCTCCTCTAGAAACTCATTTACAGGGGCTATCGTCAGCTGTTATAACGTAACATAATGGTTTGTTGATCTGATAAGGGAGAAGTCAAATGATAACGGTTTCCGCATGGGTTCAACTGGACTGTGAGCCCACCTTTCACACAGAAACACAATGACCCACAGGTTTCCGTGCAAAAGAACAACCTATTGAATATTTGTGAATAAATGATAAGAAATGAATAGCTCTTTAGGTTATAACAGGGCTGCACTGACTTGTAGCGTTACAATTAAGGTATTTTTTGCATATCCAGATTTCCATTTTATTATTTTCTATTCTGTTAATTGTCATACACAATGTTAGCTAATCACAGTTGGTCGTAACAGTGAAAAAACTCACAAACGTATAACGTGAATTAGGGCAGTGCCTTTTGTAAAGGGTCACGTGTTAAATAAAGGTTGTTAACCTCAAGTTCCTTACTCAATGGGTTTGATGTTTTAGCGTCATTATAACAATAAAGTAATAGAAGCTTTATTGTTATTATGTAATACAGTATGTTTGGTTAGGTCATTATATACCAACCTAGTTGAGTGAAGTATAAAGTCATTCATTAAATGTACTTTAATGCTCACAATTGTTAGTAACCTGACTGACATATTAGAGGGAATCATATTGTTTACATCATTTTAAAAAGTTTGCCTATTGCGATTTAAACATTTCCTTTAGACATATTGGGATTTGGGGGAAATCTTCTTTATCTAGTGTTTGTATTACTGGAATCAAAATCAATGATTGCCTTTGTGATTCATGTTAATGTGATCAGCAGGCTGCAGGACTTACTGAATCAGTGCATTGAGTGGGTTTAAATTATTACAAGAATATAGCCAGGGGGGGGCATACTCATCTGAACACCTGCACAACAGGAAATAGAAACAATGTAAGAATTTGTATTTTGCATTTAGTCTCCTGTGGGGGACTGCAAAACCACATGCTGGTGCTTCTTTAAACTCCTCCCCTTCCTCCCACGTAGTTTTCATCTATGGTTTTCATCCCCCATTATTTGTACTACTGCTTATTATTTATAACATACCAAATAAATAGAAGAGGAATGTATACAATGTTGTGTCAAGATTGTGCAAAGCATTTATGAGTAACTCATCATTTTGTAGATTTGAGTTGTGACAGTCATGATTTTTCAAAGCACATTTTTTTACATAGTCATAACAAAAGAGAACGTTTATGAAGGAATACATGGTTTATAATAACACAAGAGGAAAGTATCATTGTGTTAGAAAGTGATAAATCTTGACTGAGCATTATTCCTGTTATTTATCACGACATGATGTATCTCACCGACTCGCTGCAGGCAGGGCTGGATGATGCGTCCATGGTCTCTGCAAAAGTTTAAAAGATCTTGAAAAGCCACTGTTGCTCCGAAGAGTCTGTGAACACAGCGCAATCTTTGGGATCATTGTGTGCAGATGCAGATCACTGCGCCCCTGAACACAACACTTGAGCAGATTTCCACACTCCGTAAACAGAGAAGTTATCCAGAAGGACTTCCTGTGCACCGCTGGAGAGAACCACGCTGACTGGGAACACTGGGAACGTCTCTCTTCTCAGTTCAACTGCAGCTTTTAGCCCCCTGCTCGGACCTTGATCCTTTACGTTTCACACAATTGCTGTGAGAGCAGCAGTCCTGTCCTCCTGGTGGAGCGCTGCGCTGCAGGAAGACAAGTCTCAGCAATTAGATGCACACCCTGACAGAGCTGCAGTGGTGTAAACAATTACTTGATTACAATTTTGAGGGACTTGTACTTTAAATCAAACAAACATAGATGAGAGTGTAAAATATAGTTACAATTAAAGGTAGGGTATGTAATTTTGGAGAAACCAGCTCGAGATCGCTAGAATTTGAAAATACACGACCAGAGAAAATCTGCCACACATTTTTTTATGGATTTTTTGTCAAAACACTTGAGATATTCATTGCTATCGGGATGTTAAGAGCATTCCATGGAATATAACAAGTGTATCTCGAGCCGGTTTCTCAAACTTACATACCCTACCTTTAAAAGAAAATTATAAAAAAAACATGAAAGGACGAAAAAAAGTAGAGAACAATAAAAAGAGATGAAATACATAAAAGACAGTAAAAACAATAACATAAAATACCATCAAATGTAGGTTTCAGGAGGATAAACATAGGGAAATATAAAACCAGCTCTAAATATATGCTTTTTGCTACTTTTTACTTCTATTCCATTACAATTCAGAGGTCAATTGTGTACTTTTACATCACTACATTTATAAATACTTACTTTGCCAATTTAAATCAGGCTTTAGTTCCACCTGGAGTAAATTCACAAGCTACCCTGCAGTATACAAAGTCATTCAAACTAGCTGCACCTTTACCAGCTTTGAGAACACTTTCATGATCAATAATAATCAAAACATTTCATATTATTCTGAAATGGACCAATCTGCAGAATGAGTACTTTTACTTTTGATGCTCATACTTTACTTATATATTTTGAATGCAGGACCTTTAATTGTAACAGAGTACTCTTACACAGTGCTTCTACTTTTACTTAAATACAAGATCTGAGTACTTCTCCCACCTCTGCAGATACGTTTAACAGACATGTTTGAAGACATACAGTACTCTGCATGGATTAATCAACGTTTACTAAATTATTTTTTTCTCCTTTCTTTTATTTCTCGCCATAATAAGAAATAAGACACTTGGGATGTACCCCGTGTCAATGCAAGGAATGAAGGGATGCTGGAAAAACCTAACTCTATTATCAAAGAACCAAGGTTATGTTCAGGAAGGGTTCGTTTTTTTCTCTCAAGTGTTCAGTGTTGTTCTATGGGAGATATAGACCACTCCCAGACTGCATAAACGTTCCTGGAAACCATAAGAAATGTCTATCTTGGCGGTGATAACCACAGGGACTCTACTTGTGCTATGCATGGCCATAAGACATCCAGCCAGTAAAACCTTTCAAAAGAACAAATCTCAATACTTAGACACGGCCTAAGAAGTGACAATACATCTCGTGGAATAAGCCCTTAAACCATAAGGGCGGCCGCAAACCCTTAATGACATAAGCCAGAGAAATGGCCTCCACACTTCCTGTTCTGAGAAGAAAGGAGGCGGGTACACAATTGAAACTGTATGCTGACCCCTCCCATATAGGCACAAAAGCTGGATTGGGCCTCTTTCAGACCATGGCAAGGCCTTGGGTTTACTGCTAGCAGGAAGGGTGGATGTTAGAAGTCTGTAAGTCACTATAACTCTTACCCACATGACGGTAGGATGAGGTCGTTCACAACAGATCTCGTCCCACAGGGCAGTTCATCAGTGTTCAGCTGTCGGCCAATCTCTGCTAGGATTTAAGTCTAGTCAAGCAGATTCATTGCAAGAGAGCACACTGATTGGTGCATATTACTACGTACTCTTAAAAAGGAAGGTGGATAAGGCTTACAAATCTGTTAGGCAGTGAGATTTAGAGGAACCTAATAGAGAGCCACTGTTTCACCAAGATGAAAGCGGCCCGTTTGCAGAATTCATAAAAGATGTTGTCCACTGGGGAAGCAGCATCAGATGGACTGGGGGTATGGAAAAGTTGGAGGCACCCTCCTCATCCTCCATGTCAAGGTCAGAGTTGGCATTGCTCTCTGCGTCCTAAAAGCCCAGCTCCACTTTGATGAGGGTCTGCTAGCGCCTATAGAATTATGTTCCTAGTAATGATAAGACAAGGTGAGTGCAAAGGAGCAAAATGTATAAATATTTTGTCTTACCAGGTGCCATGTCACAACGCATTAGCCTGTCTGTCAGTAGGGCTAGCAAACAGGGTTAGAAGTTTGCTGGCTTAACTCTTACTACTCAGCTTCGCTAATAAATTACAATAACCCACATTTGGTAGGTACATCGTTACACATTAACTGGAGAGTATACTGTCACACAGAAAAGGTCAACCTAACCCGTTTCAAGGAAAATGTCAAATTAGTCCCTGTACAGAGTGTAGAGTAAGTCAACAAACTGCACAAACTTTTTTTTTTACAGTTCTTTATTTTAAGCAAACACAGTGGGTTACATTGAGCCTTGTAGAGTAGATTATTACACCAAAGACACGCTATTACCGCAGGTCAACTTGTGTATCGCAACACAGACCCAGATCCTCTACCCCACTAACTGAAGTTTTCTGAAAGTCTTCCATCTTAAAACTCAAAACATTAAGTATTACAACACTAAAAGATTTCATTGCATATCACAATCAACATAAAATGGCAAGGCACGAGAATTATCGTGTTTTATCGTACAAATATATACACATGGGATTCATGTTAATAGAAATGAGTGGACAGGAAAGTGAGCATGAGCAGCCAGTGCATTTACTTCTGAGACTGGTAGCTGATACACCCATTATTTTTTGTCAAATCCAACCTTGGTCATATAGTCATTACATTGTCCAAGTTTATTTAGTCTGCAGTAAAAAAAACACGGGTGTAGTATCTATAATGCTCTAGTCCACATTCAGAACTCGGAACTGGTAAAACAAGTAGCTTGGCTAATATTAGCTGTAGTTGAGAGTTGACTTTAAATACTACAAAAAACAAAACTGCATCAAAAACAATACTAATGTTCGCTTATTAGAGCATTCGTCTTAGTTCTTTCTGATGTGTCGGTGTGTTGAGATCAAACTGTTAAACATCATTTATACTCGTATTCGCCATTGAACATGCAGACCACACCCTTCTTCATTAATTTTGTCATTCTTTCCCTGTTTTATGTATATTTTATATCCATTTTCCTGTAATGCACAGCTTGTATGAAAGGTGCTTTACAAACAAATTTCATGATCAATCATTAAATACATTTTGCACTGACATATCTTTAGAAGATAAAACATGCAGGATAAATATTCCCGCATTAAAATGTAGAAACACTAAAAATACATTTACTGAACTTTTCTCAGCTGGGTTAAGAGAACAGTTCCTCTTTCAAACGATAGTAGCGCCCTTCTTTGGCCATGAGTTGTTCGTGGGTCCCTTCTTCTACTACGGCTCCCTTCTCGATGAAGATGATGTGATCTGCCTTCTCCACAGTCTTCAGCTGATGAGCCACAACCAGGACAGTCCGACCGCAGGTCAGAACCTCCTGCAGCACCTGAGACACAACCCAACACGTTACACCTGGGAATTCTAGCATTACAGAAAGATGGCGGATAAAAGTAAATGTTGTGTTGAGGATGGGTTGCATATACATTGTTTTCTCCAATAATTTGCAATACAGTACAACAACATTAACAATTCAGGTAAAGCAATATGGAAGTGGATTAAGGGTCCTGAAACACCAAACTGACTCCAGAGATTTAGGGGCAACACATCCACTTTTGTGTCTCCTCACGTGGTCTGCATCTTGGCCAAAAACTCCCATTTGAACACACCGCAAAGACTTCAGCCAACAGGCAACTATCGTGTACGTTCTGCGCCTGCATGAGAGGAAATAACCCTCCTTCTCAGCAGGCGGGGGTAGTCTGTACTCATCAATCAAAAAGGGAAACCGGAAAACATAGGATATTAAGTAAATGAGTGATTGTTATTCTACAGCAATTGCCCACCATTTTCGGACCACTATCACCACTTCATTACAGATGGCTTTGTTTTTATAACAAATATTTGTGTATTGGAATGATCAGATGTGATAACTATGTGTGTGCTCTCGGTTTCACTCATTTGTTTGTTTTCCTTCCAGTACACTGATCAGCCAATCAGAGTGATTTATTTTGATGACAGGCTTGGCTGCCAATTTAACATGTCGGAATCTGCCGTCGTGGGTTGGGGAGCCTTAAGGGGATTGGAACAATAAAAGAAAATATATCTTCTTTATCATCCAGGTTGTTTCGACATTCCAGCCCTGCCTCCAAAGTTATTAAAGCCAACTTGATGAGCAGGGAGCAGCTGTTTCAACCCGTTGGGAGAACAGCCTCTTTATGCATGCAGAGCACAAAGATGCCTTTCTTTTTGTGGATACTCTTCATGGGCTAGTATCACATGCACTGGCCTAAGATTAGTTTTATGAAGCTCAGCGTAAGTTCAACCAGGAAAACCGTCTTTACTCATTCATTTACTATTTCTATCTTACTACTCTCTCTCCTTTCGATAAGTGATCGGGGGCATCACTCCCCAGCTAAACCAATAACTTCGCTTTATTCCCACAAGCCTATCATAGCGCTCTGCTAAACCTTTAAATCTGACAGCTGTCATTTCCAAGTGACTCGACGCAACCCTCCTCCACCCCTTTTCACCTCCTGTTGCTCTGAATCCAGGCTCAAGCTAAGCCACTCCTCTTCAGACCGACCCCAACTATCTCTTCACCACCACCAGGGTCAAGCTAAGCCCCTCCTCTTCAGACCGACCCCAACTATACCTTCACCACCACCAGGGTCAAGCTAAGCCCCTCCTCTTCAGACCAACCCCAACTATCCCTTCACCACCATCAGTGTCTAGCCCCCGGGGGGGTTTCATCAGCTCGGTTCTCCCCCTCCCGAATGATACTCCCGCACAACGGGGCCTAATCGCCAAACACCATCACATTCATTTGTGTATTCCTGGCAATAAATATGTATTCTTACATCAAAACCGTCTCTCCTGATTGAAAGTCTATTATATGCACAACAGTTATAAACCATTTAAAACATATAATCCCAGGGTCTCTTCAAAAAAGTTAAAACTAAATGAGAATCTAAGACATGAAATAGTGTTAAATAAAATAGGAAATACAATATTATAAGTGTTTGGTAAATAATGATTGCATTTGAATATACCGAATATAAACATGAATTTAGTCAATGAGCCTCTGCAGGAGTGTAAACAGTTTGTAAAAGAGTGAGTGGAGTATAACAGTAAAGTGTTAAAGTATTATTTAAACACAAATGCATCTGACCAGTTCAAAAGAAAGGAACATCAGCTGGTTCATTTTTTGGGACTATGAACTCAGTTGAAAGGTCAAAATGATGAACCTGAACTTGTTCATTTGAATCTGTGTGGAATTAACTATGAGCTAGCTCTCGTAATGAATACAATGGAAGGAACACATAGTTAGCACATAATTACTAATAGAATAGAGAGATGGTCAAAGTTATAAGTGGAATTGAACACATTTACTCAAAATGTAATTCATTTCTTCTATAAAAGGGCAAGTCATCCTAAGAACCATTCAAATTAAAATAAAAACTTCAAATATGGCCTCGCTTTGCAACACACTTTTGAGTTAGGTCTTTACATCACTAAATAAGAAACTCTGAGACATGAAGTACAATTATAAGGGTGTTTGGTTTCGGAAAGTATACTCAAAAAAATATCGAGTGCTCCTGTGGTGGTGGATGTCATTAGAGGTATTTATTGTATTTGACTTACAGCATGCTGCACATCAACATCCAGTTTGCTGGTGGCCTCGTCCAGTATGATGACCTGCGGCTCCCGGACCAGAGCTCTGATGATGGCCAGGCTCTGCTTCTGTCCGTCTGACAGCTTACCACCACATTCCCCTATATCTGTAGAGACCAAACACAGACTTTAGGATTATGCAGATAATACAAATGTACTTAACATTTTTTTAAATCAATATCACATCACATATGCTAGGATCAGGTTAATGCTTAACTACTTTCAAATCATATATCTTATTTTTTCCATCACACACTGCATCTCCCCAGATTTACACACTCGGTATTTTCTGTGTCTGTTACACGGCAGCTGTTTTCCCCCTATACATACTTAATATTTATCCTACATTGTCAGTGTAAGCTAATTTTTGTTTATAAATAACAACATAAAAATAAAGCAGCCACATAATAAAAAAGAAAAAAGAAAATCCTTTGCCCCATCATTCTGTCCTCATAATATAATGCAATTACAGTTCATAGAAATACTGATCCTGCAATAAGCGGACAATTTAAATAACAAAAATGACATAATGTATTTTAGGGGCATTAAGTTGACAAAAAACAACATAACAAACGCATTTGACCTATATCTCCACCCCTTATAGGATGGAATTGAAAAATGAAGTACAATTGCATATGTACTATTCAGATCTAATTAATCTGATAAAAGACTTCTATGTTAAGTATTAAATGTACTAAATATCTTTCCAATCTTCTGTACCTGTGTCATATTTGTTCTTGAGTTCAGAGATGAAGAGGTCTGCGTTGGCCTTCTTTGCAGCTTCCTCCACCCTCTCTAAGGTGCAGTCCTTCAGGCCGTACTCAATGTTGTACCTCAGAGAACCAGAAAACAGCACAGGGTTCTGGGATACCAGGGCCATCTAAAAAAAAAGTATATTGACTTACAAACTATTAAAAGTAAAGTGTTGGTGGACGCACATTCACCAAATACAATATTCTCATGAATGTATAATTGAAAAGCAAAGTAAAAAAAACACTTTTTAATCTCCAAATAAATCATCCATCCATCCATCTTCTCCCGCTTATCCGTGGTCGGGTCGCGGAGGAAGCAGTTCCAGCAGAGAGCCCCAAACTTTCTTTTTCCTGGCCACATCAACTAGCTCTGACTGGGGGATCCCAAGGCGTTCCCAGGCCAGCGAAGAGATATAATCCCTCCACCTGGCCCTAGCTCTACCCCTTGGTCTCTTCCCAGCTGGACGTGCCTGGAACACCTCCCTAGGGAGGCGCCCAGGTGGCATCCTAACTAGGTGCCCAAACCACCTCAACTGGCTCCTTTCGACGCGAAGGAGGAGCGGTTCAACTCCGAGTCCCTCCCTGATGACCAAACTTCTCACCTTATCCCTAAGGGAGACGCCAGCCACCCTGTGGAGAAAACCCATCTCGGCCGCTTGTACCCACGATCTCGTTCTTTCGGTCATGACCCATCCTTCATGACCATAGGTAAGGGTAGGAACGAAAATGGCACGGTAGACAGAGAGCTTTGCCTTCTGGCTCAGCTCCCTTTTCGTCACAACGGTGCGGTAAAGCGACTGCAGTACCGCTCCCGCTAATCCGATTCTCCGACCCATCTCACGCTCCATTGTTCCCTCACTCGAGAACAAGACCCCGAGATACTTGAACTCCTTCACTTGGGGTAAGGACTCATTCCCTACTTGGAGTGGACAGTCCATCGGTTTCCTGCTGAGAACCATGGCCTCAGATTTGGAGGTGCTGATCCTCATCCCAGCCGCTTCACACTCGGTTGCGAACCGATCCAGTGAGTGCTGAAGGCATCAGAACCACATCATCTGCAAAAAGCAGTGGTGCAATCCTTAGTCCACCGAACTGCAGACCCCCTCCCCCACGACTACGCCTCGAAATCCTATCCATGTATATTACAAACAGGATTGGTGACAAAGCGCAGCCTTGGCGGAGGCCAACCCTCACCTGAAATGGGTCCGACTTACTGCCGAGGACCCGGACACAGCTCTCGCTTTGGGAGTACAGAGATTGGATGGCCCTGAGTAGAGACCCCCTCACCCCATACTCCCGCAGCACCTCCCACAGTGACTCCCTGGGAACCCGGTCATACGCCTTCTCCAAGTCTACAAAACACATGTAGACTGGATGAGCGTACTCCCAGGCCCCCTCCAGGATCCTTGCGAGAGTAAAAAGCTGATCCGTCGTTCCACGACCAGGACGGAATCCGACCCTCTCGTCCACTGGGGTAAACTCCAACAATGAAGCACCCAACCGGGGACTTGTGAGTATCCCCACACCCGCCCGGCGCCTCACACCTTCAGCAACTCCGGAGAAGAATAGAGTCCAACCCCTATCCAGAAGTAAGGTTCCAGAGCCGACGCTGTGCGTAGAGGTGATCCCAACCAGATCCAACTGGTAACGCTCCACCTCCCGCACAAGCTCCGACTCCTTCCCCCCCAGAGAGGTGACGTTCCACGTCCCCAAAGCCAGCTTCTGTCGCCCGGGTCTGGTCCGTCGAGACCCTCTGCCTTCACTGCCACCCTTCTGGCAGCGCACCAGACCACATTACTGTTTCCCGTAGGTGGTGGGCCCGCGGGACGGAGAAGCGGAGGTGTTGCCCACGTTGCCTTTTCGGGCTGTGCCCGGCCGGGTTCCGTGGCAAGCCCGGCCACCAGACGCTCACCGACGAGTCCTCCTTCTAGGCCTGGCTCCAGAAGGGGACCCCGGTCTTCCTCCGGGCCGGGTATCTTAACTTCTTTGTTGTTCTTTCATGAGGTCTTGCGTGAACCAATCTTAGTCTGGCCCCTTGCCTGAGACCAATTTGCCATGGGAGACCCTACCAGGAACACAAGGTTCCAGACAACACAGCCCCCAGGTTAATCAGGGCACACAAACCTCTCTACCACGGTAAGGTGCTGGTTCTTCAGAGAAGCAAATAAATCAAACTTCCTCAAATACCTTATTTGTTTTGTGTAAATAGCAGATATTACCCTGATAAAACACTGGCTCACTTAAGGTGGATTGACCTTTAAGGTGGTCCAGCTTACATAATTTAAAGGTCACCTATTATGCTATATCTATACAAAACATGTATCTGAAGGGTTTTGCTCAAAATACAAAACAGATCACCCATTGTAGCCATGCCTCATACCCCTCTATTTCAGCCCTGTTACAAAAGTGCTGATTCTTGGTCTGTAGCTTCAAATGTGACCCGAGCTGCTGTGGCTAAGCCCCTTTCCGCATGCAAGCAGTGAGCTCTGTGAAAAGAACAGTACCTGCTCTGCCGGCAGAGACTCAGCTAAACGCTGCCGTGATTAAATGCCATATCATGTTCCAAACCACATCAAGCATTATTTCCGAAACAGTATGGAGCTCAAATGCCTTCTCTCTCTTGCGGGTTTACCACAAGGTGAGTACCTTTTATATCTGGCTTACTCTCTCCAGTACAGCATTAGCTCTGAATGTTAGCGATGCTTGCTAATGTAAACACAGACCATATTATTTTCAAAACATGTCGCGCATTGTTTCTGATACAGCCAAATTTCTGATAGAGGACAATAGGTTCGGTCGTGGGTGGAACGTTGCCAGGAGTTCAACGTAAAGCCAGCCCACATTTGAGTAACGTCGTCATGACCGCAGCAAATCTGGATCAGCTCCATCGTACCCCCATTTTTAGAGATGTGGGTAAGGAGGAAAAGAGAGAGGGTTGTATTTTCTGATTCTCTTTACACACCTGGGACACATATTTATGTATAAAACACATCAAAAAGTGCATTTTGCATAATAGGTGACCTTTAAGTAACAAGCTACTCCACTGCACTTGACCCGGCATCTGGTGGTGCAACTGTTGAGTCATGTCTGACATCTAGTGGTAACATTTGGTATACCGGTCCAGCGTTCAACTTTAAACCAGTTTAAACATTTTGACACAGAACAAACTCTACAGTCTACACAAAAAAGGCAACATGTAGAAAATGTAAGCATTCCCCCATAATTGATTTTCTGCAGGGATCTAGCCTCCTTTCAGTGAGACAGCAGTACCTTTTGATGGAAGTATTTGTGATTGTAATGATGCAGAGGTTGTCCATCCAGCAGGATCTGCCCCTCTTCAGGTTCGTATAGCCTCTTCAGGAGGCTCACACAGGAAGTCTTCCCGCCTCCAGAGGGACCCACCAGAGCTGTCATCTTCCCTGGCTTAAGCTCCATAAAAACTTTCTGTGCAGAACATGTCATACTCATGATCAGAACTCATGTTTAACCCCATTAGAAATGATATATGATGCTGTGGGACACACGGTACCTTCAGAGCTGGTTCCACGTCAGGAGATGAGGGATATTTGAAGGTCACATTTTGGAAAACAATTCTTCCCTCCAGCCTCTCAGGAGCTAACTCTCCCTCCTTCTTACACTTTGGTGTTCGGTCAAGATAACTGAACACTTTGGAGATGACTCCGACTGTGGACATCGTCTCTCCATAGCAATACATGATCTCCTGTGGCAAAGATAATCAACAGCAGGTATGATTTATTGAACTCAAACACATGGGAGAGATTCTGAATGGGGACATATTTTTAAATCAGCACACCTTTAAATTGGTTGACATGGGCTTCTGGTACAGGAAGAAGGACACAAGACTTCCAATAGTGAGGTCACCTGACGATATGAGGCTGCGGGCCTGTACCAGCATGAGTATCTTTATTCCCAGACTCACCACCTACATGGAAGCAGAGAGAGGAATTACTCACATTGTACCTCCAACTAAAAGTATTTTTTTACATTATTGGAGCAGCACATTTGTACGGAAGACAAATCCTGCCAGGAAAATAAAAAAGAAGTAAAATGTGTGTATATATGATAAAAACACGAATATCAAAAAATATCAAGTCAAGATTCAAGATTCAAGATTAATATCTCCTATTTTGACATATATCTCATAATGTGGACATATGTTTAAGTTATTTTACAAGTTATTTTCTTAAAATGTAGACGAAGTGATATAAAAATGTTAGTTATTAATGTCACTATATCAACATTTGGAATTTATATTTGATATTATTACGAGAGTCAAGTCCAACATTTACTGCTGAGTCTTTCGTAGTTCTGACCTAAAATATGTAAAAATGATCTTAAAATGTCCTCTTATTATTTATAATTAGTCCTAAGTATATTATAATCATTAACTATGTAAATAAAAAAGAGGACTATTAATTAGTAATAATCTTCTATGACTCAAAAAGTCGAATTATTCACAAAAAATTGTATCTACTGACTATGCATCATTTTATTTATATAATAATAATTTTGTAATTTTGTATTCTTTTCCTGGTAGAAATGGGTCTCCATACAATGAGTTTAGACGTCAACATGAGCTCTCGCGCTCATACGATCTATGAATGACGGCTGTTCCCACCCTCCGTATCAACAGGAAGACTGCGCTGTAGATTCCTGTACTTCTCTTCACGGCGCACATCACGTCCAGAGCCTCATTGTACCTCCTCAGCTCGTCTTTCTCCGCCCTGAAGCTGCGGACTGTGTGAATCCCGCTGATTGTCTGGAAAGCCAGGTCTTTGTTCTGAGCGTGGCACTCCTGGATCTGGTCTTTCAGGTCCTGTTTTACAAAGACTAATTCAGTAACACTAAAATACACATGAGCAGACAGATGTCCTCATAACAGGTTCAGAATCCTCTACTCTTACAAACAAAGGCAATTTACTCTGAGCCTCTTGGGGGGAAATCAAACGAGTGCTTCTAAATCTGGCAGAGCTTGCATTATTGCTGCCAGATTTAGCACCCAACCCTGTAACTTTGGCCAGAGTGGTCATCATTTGACAAAAGTCCCACTGGTGTGAGTTATTCTCCTTTAGTTTAAGCAAACAAAAGCATTTTTTTCTGGATTGTATAAAATGGAAGGGGGGCTTCTAAATCTGGCAGAGCTGGTTAATGCTGCACGATTTGGCCTCCCCCCTGTAACTTTGGACAGGATGAGGATAGTGGAAGTGGGCCACAGCCACGTGAATGTTGATTGATTGACATTTGACACAGGCAATGGTGATAGACCTCTCTTGCTTTCTACACAGCCATTGAATAAAAGACAAGTTTTAAAGGACAATCAAATGCGGGACATCGTCTGAATTTGTAGGTCCCGGGACAAAGCAAGACTCCTGGTCACTCTAACCGGATGTGTATCATGCAATATTTATTTTTCCTTACGATATTTCTTCGTCGTGTGAGGTGTACAATGGAGGAACAAAATCTATATAAACAGAAAATGTGGCTATGTTTTAAATGTAATTCTTTATGATAACAGAGATAGTTGGATACCTTAAAATTCAATCTGATGTGTAAACTAAGAAATTCCTCTTTTATAACCTATTAACTATAGCCATACTTTGAGCTGATTGGTTGGTTGGATACATTTTTTAAAGGGATTTCCCGCCCCTAAAGCAGATTTATTTGTGTCACACCATACATACAAAATCCAAGTAGTCATGAATTCAATCCCATCTGGGAATTACTCATCAAATAAGTTTGTATTAATTAGAGCTCTACTTACTGGTTGAAAAGCACTATTATACTTTGTTAAAAGCTGAGTTAAGAGCAGAAGGACCAAACTACTGATTGATTAGAAACAATGAACGTGGAAACACGAAATAACAACCAATCAAACAAACAAACCACTATGATAATGAGTAAAGAAACCCTACACAGCTGTCTGTTTTCTACCGTCTATTCGGAGTAATCCATCTCTTCACACCTACCTTGGACCAGGTGATGTATTTGTTCTGCAGGAAGGCCAGCAGAGGCATCTCTATACTGGTGAGCAATGTGAGCTCCCAGGACAGGCCCAACATTACTCTGAACATGAGAACGGTTTTGACTGTGCTGCGGACCAGAGCGTTGGAGTTCAGTGCGACCGTGCGGCCCATCCTGTCTACGTCAGAGTGCAGGCGGGAGGACAGACGTCCTGAGGGGGGAGAGGGGAGGAAAGAGCATGTTCAAGGTTTACTCGTAGCTAAATGTCTGCAGAAGTTCATTAGTTCTACACTTATTGTGGAGGGAAAGTGGAAACTGTCAGATTGTTCGACTATTAAGTTATAAATAATTACTCAATGAATAAATAGTTACATGGCTTAGCTGAATACTACATTTTGTATTGATCAATAAGCGGTCTGCTTTTTTTCCAATATAGATTTTTTTCAACTTTGGGTTCATGATGGCTAAACACTCCTCAGTAAAGAAAAGAAAAACAGTGATAGAGAAGGAAAGAGATTATAATACAGAGAGCTGGAAGACAGATAAATCAGCAGAATAAGGCATACAGGAAGTAAACACCAACGGGAACACAGTATGGACTTTGTTTACATAATGGTTTATAGAAAAGAAAATATGAACTGGCTTGGTCAGTTACAGAAAACTCAATTAGGGCTGAGTTACGTTGCTGTCGCTGTGGTTCGAGCTTAATGGAACCAATATGATAATTTTTCATCAATAAAACAAGTTTAAATCAATATGTAATGTCAAATTATTGTTTTAGTAGCCGGTAAATAAGCAGGATTATATGCAGCAACCCGGTTATCATAGTGAAAGAAACCCTGAAAGGTTGATCAGGAGGATTCAGGGTTTGAATTAGCCTAAAGGAATATTATCACTGACTTATTATCAACTGTGGGCATATACAGGGGTGCACATAACTGGTACGCAGGTACGCATGCGCGGCACACATCTGAATTGCGTAACGTCACTTTTGTCACTACGCGCCTTTGCGTACCTCAAAACATCAAAAACAAAAACACATATTTCGTCTACACGTGTTTCTTATCAAGACTCAATGGAGTAAACTACTAGACATGTCAAAAAAAACAAAGACATTAAGCAGCTACGTTGCCGTTTCGCTCCCTGCAAGAAATCTTCGGACTTTCTGTGACTGACTGAACTGGGTGCTGGCCGAGCCGCGCAGGACATAACCGACGGACCTGTGAAGCTTACAGGAGGCAGAGGCTTAGATCACTGGACGACAGAGTTGTTCACCGTGTGCACAGACAGGGTTAACGTCGGTATGAACAACAGAATTGTGCCAAAACTCCGCCAACTGGCTGCAGTGGGAGACTCCCCTGTGCACATTCTGTGCCCCGCGCACACACTGGAGAACTGCGCAAAATCAGCTGATCACAACGTTCACGCTCTGTGGTCAAGCTGCTGCAGTTTTATTTACAACAAAGTGGAGTAAAACACACAGTTGCAAACTTACTCAGGGTGTTAATGGAAGAGTTTGAAATCAGATCTTGTGTAGGAATACTCTGTTACAGTAAAAGTCCTGCATTCAAAATGTTACGTTAGTAAAATTAGAAAAGTATTATCAAAATATAGTTAAAGTACCAAAAGTAAAAGTACATTGGTCCATTTCAGAATAATATATATGATATGTTTATAATGATTGATCATGAAAGTGTTCTCAAAGCTGGTAAAGGTGCAGCTAGTGTTTGAATGACTTTGTTTACTGCAGGGTAGCTTGTGAATTTACTCCAGGTGGAACTAAAGTCTGATTTAACACTTGATTATATTTCACATCATTAATCCAGATCTGTAAAGTAACTAAAGATATTAAATACATGTAGTGGACTAAAAGTAAACCATTTACCTCTGAACTGTAGTGGAGTAGAAGTACAAAGTAGCATCAAATTCATGTAAAGTACAAATATCTCAAAATTGTACTTAAGTAAAGTACTTGAATAAGTGTACTTAGTAACTTCCCACATCTGAAATCAGATATAACTTCAATTCATGTGATAACTTCTTAGTATTTGATCCTTCAACTTGGCCTCAGGAAATGCAAGGACTTCACAGTTTTGGCAACAAGTTTGGAGAAAGCAAATCGGAGGCTTAAAAAGAGACAGGGAGGTGCATCTTCATCATCTTCATCATCTAGCATGCAAGAAGTGTAAATAGAGGACAGTGAAGGAGACACTGAGGAGGACCATGCTTCGTGTGGGGTGAGTACCAAACGCTGTCTCCTGGTACTCATCTGAGTAACTCACTAAAAAAGTTATGTGCACCCCTGGGCATATACCTTTTCACCCAACATCCGTGTCGGTCCTTACTAATGCTCCTGAGGCTAAATAGGAGAAATGTTTCCATAGTGTGTCCTCATATTGTCATGGCTATGTAGTGTACTTTTTTGGAATAAAAGTCTAGGTGGAAAATATATTGTGTCTACAAAAACAGATTTCTTGACCCTGTAAATCATTGCATCCCTGAAACATCCCATTAGACACGTTCACATTGTTGTTCTCACCAGGGTTGTTCTCCTCAAAGAAGTGCACCTCCTGCTGCAGCAGGGTGTGGAACAGCAGGTGCTTCAGTCTCTTGTTGAGTCTGGCCAGAGTGCACATAAATATGCCTCCTCTCATGCCGGAGAACAGAGCACTGTCAAGATGGAGACATTACAAATCATTTGGTTTATGTTTCCCATCAGTGAAATAAATCATCCATAAAAAAAAGTTTAATTTCATTACCTTCCAAGCGAGACAAAGGCCAGCTGTCCAATTGCATAACCAACGCTGGTTTGATGATTTTGACCTCCTAGCATATCGATTACATTCCCCTGATATAATGGGATGTATGTATCACCTGTCAGGAAAGACAAACAACACAGATTATAAAAACATCAATAAGTTGTTTCTGTGATATATATCCTAATTTTAATAACACATTTACATTTCAATGCAATTAAACAATCTCTAAACCTTCAAATAGATAGAAACAGAAATGATCTTTTTACGCAAATATCACACCTTCATTTTTTTGTCCTGTTTTTACATTTTTTAAACCCCATATTATCTAAAAAACAAAATGCTATTAGTTTTAGTCTTTTTGCAGTATTTGTTGACATCAAGAAAAAACACAATGGATTATTCTTTAGTCAGTTATAGGGATGTACTTAAACGTTTGAAGCTTCATTCGAACAGTTTTAATAAACATTAAAATGCTGGAGAGATCCTTTTTTTAAAGATCATTCTCTATACAGCTAGCATCTTTATAGTAAGTATAAGTATAGTATTATCTTTTATAGTATTTAAAAATGTTTCCCTCTTTTTTTATTCTGATGACATCATAAAACAGCCTTTACATGCCTTATTCAGTAACCAAAAGAAAAAGTAAAACAACATACATTTGTTACAGCCCCAATAGTTTCTCTGTTTCTCTGTTCAGTGTGTAACTCGATTTTGACAGGATAACAACTGGTGACTTCTAGAATTGTGTGAGTAACATTCTGTTTTTAGACTTCTCTGTTTCAGTGTGTGTACTCTGTATAAATGCTCTTGATCTGACTGAAATTGTGATTTTAAATCTCAAAACCGCTACAGTATCTGTCAGGCAGAAACTTGGGACAAGTAATTTGACTGAAACCTTAAAACTGAACTAACTGACTGCTAGGGTTAAACTTTGATTTAAACATTTGTAGAATACTAAGAGCTTTATTGAGTAGGTGTAACTGTATTAAGGGTTAAACTCATAACTTTATAACTTAGGGTTTAATGTAATTGGAAAACCATTGTGCTAAACAGGGAGCACCTGAGGTTCGTCCTGAGATTACAGAAAACAGTAAGAAGCAGACTCGATGGAGGTCTTTCATGGATTTTACGCCTGGTGGACCTAACGACTAAAGAGTGTCGACACCCGGTACGGGGAATTAATCTAATTTGAGAGACCGTCGACCACCCCGGAGTTTCCCTGTTAGATCTGACCGGAGGGAGAACTCAACAATAACA